CAAGTTATGGCACAGTTCTCTTTGGGGCCAACAAACACAAGAGCAACGAAGACCCTGAAGGAAAGCTTAGGATAAATTTACAGCACAGAACCAGCCAATAAATGTTATGGACTCTCCCATTATGTGTTAAAGTGGGAAAGGTGATCTCACCACGTAGTTCTGATCTAAGGAAAACTGGCTAAGAAAATCACAAATTCTGCGGGCCGGAATCCTGAGAGATCAGGGGTCTTCAAACGTGGCAATTTTAAGACTTGTGGATTTCAACTTCCAGAATTCCTAAGCCAGACATGCTGGCTGGGGAATTTATCTGGGCGTTGAAGTCCACACGGCTGCCAAGTTTGGAGACCCCTGTGATGAATCAAGAAGAGAAGAAAAAAAATAGCTGGTCACTTCCTGTATGATTTTTTTTTTTAAAAAAGCCAAATTATCTGTTGTTGTTTGTCTTAATCTCCACTAATAAAGAAATCATTCTATCACAGAGTTGGAAAGCAAAAATGTTGCATCTATCTTAAATACCTTTTCCTACAGAGCCCTTAGAAGTATATTGTGTTGGGGAGCTTCTCAGCTCTCCTAACATTATTACTACACCGTGTATCAAAGAATCCCATAGGGCAGCTATGCCCAATGTGTTGAAATGACTCCTTTTACCTGTTCTAATTTGCCCTCCAATTAAATTCCCAGTAAACAACAGTGTGGATGAGATCAAGTCAAGGAAAGTAGACCGGAACTGCAATGCTGTACATACTTATTGAGAAGAAAGTCTTATTCTTTCCATAGGGCTTCTTCTGGAGATTGCATCCATGGACAGAAAGCCTGAAAGAATTGTTGGGAATAAACAAGAGCAGAACTGACGACTGGATCTCTTCTTACCTTCATGGAAAGAAGACGCGTTAGGTAGATCTCCGGAATCGCTTTGGCTCTCTCCCGTTCCCGCAGGCTCCCTCGCCGATGTTTAGGCAGCTCAGGTTCCTCGGTCGGTTTCACCAGGTGCCAAAGCTTTATGCCGCCCTCATCCGCATCCTCCAGCATTGGGGTTTCTAAAACACAAGCCAGCATAAGGCCACTCTGGATGATTGGCAGTAGATCATCAGATGGCAGATGCTCAGTTTCTCAATTGAACAATTTTTTTTCTTTCTCTTTAAATTAACTTGCTACTCCAAACTGGTTTGATAATTAACTTTCAGTCCATTTTGTTCCTTTGTCCATTCAGTCCACCCAAGCTGCTTTTCCCCCAATAACCAAATAAGAGTTGGAGTGGTCACTCACTCTCTCCAGGGATGTAATCCTGATTCTCCCTGGGAAGGTGCTTGGTCATACGAGGGACCAGTGCAACAGTGGCTCCATCAGGCACCTGAGCAGGCACAAAAAATGTGGGTTAAACAGCTTTCGGGACTCAACATCATGCTGCATTGTCTTTCCGCAAAAAGTATTTGGAAGTTGGCATTTGAGATTAGACACTTAACACCACCTTATCTCCTTGTGTGCTAATGTGATATAATCTATATGACATAATATGGCTTTTGATATAATTAAAGTAGAATCTACCCAGTTCAGCAGTGTCCATAATTTAAAATGATTGGAGATTGACAGGACAGGCTTTACCTCCAAAATACTTAGGGGTCAAGATTTCCTTATGAAGAATTTATTTTTAAAACTAACCTCTTTGATTTGATCACAGCATTTGTTGTTAATGGCAGCTAGTTATTTATTTATGCATATATCCTGCTTTTCCTCTATCAAAGCAGTACTCAGAGTGGCTTTTCACATGCATGTACTTTATTGCAGGGGGTCTTCAAACTTTGCCCTTTTATGACTTGTGGACTTCAACTCCCAGAATTCCTCAGCCAGGCACGCTGGCTGAGGAATTCTGGGAGTTGAAGTCCACAAGTCATAAAAGGGCAAAGTTTGAAGACCCCTGCTTTATTGCAATCAATAGGTTAAGGAAACATTAAAACCTAGCAATTATTATATAATATTTGATGGCACGTTTTTACCTCAGCAGCACAGAATTTAGCCAAGGCGTCAGTACTTTATTCATAAAGTAAAAGCTTTATACAACTATGGCCTAGTTTTCCTGAATACTGACACAGAAGAGGTAAAGTAAGAGAATTAAATTTCCCTTTACAAATTTCAGTATAGCAGTAGAGGGTATAGCTGATTAATTTCATCTGAATCACCAGAATAAACTAATTTAGATAAGAGGATTTTAGAGTATCTGACAGAGATGCTGGTGGTAACACAGCACTCCACGCTCAGAAAAGATATTAACTACTTGCTAGCATCCAAGGTCAACTTGAAATCCAATTTCCTGTCTTATATGGCATCCTACTGACATGCAGTTGATACTCCCTATCATTTATCCTTTGCATGAATGTGCATCTGGCCTTTTCATTAACAACAACAAAAAGATAGTAAAGGATTCTGCTATCCAGTCGTGTCTGACTCCAGGGGGTGGCGTTCATCTCTGTTTCTTAGCCAAGGGAGCCAGTGTTGTCTGAAGATGCTTCCGTGATCATGTGGCCAGCATGATTATATGCCGAGGCGCACGGAATGCTGTTACTTTCCCACCACACGACAAGGTGGGACCAAAGTGGTACAAAAGTGGTACCTATTTATCTACTTGCATCTCATGCTTTTAAACTGCTAGGTTGGCAGGAGCTGGGAAAAGAACGGAGCTCACCCTGTCATGCAATACTTGGGACTTGAACCTTTTGGTTGACAAGCCCAGCGTCTTAACCACTACATCATCAAGCCCCCATGCCCCAGGATAAAAAAGAACCTGGCTTGTGAGTCTAGAAGCTGCTAGCTTGAATTCTATAGCCTCTCTCTAGCCTGGAGAATAGTCATCTGCCAATAGGTTAATATACAATGATAGCAGCAGACAAGAAGATGGGTAAACCCTGGTTTCCAGCAAAAAACCTCGTAAATTAGTCATGGGACCCAGGGATGCTGTAAACAGCCATAAATGCGGGTCATTTGCCAAGCATCCAAAATGCAGTCATGTGGCCGCCAAGGGGGCCCTGGGCACCAGAACACCAAATCCAGGTCAGAAGTCCCTTTTTTTTGTCCATTGTAACTTTGAACAGTCTGAGTGACCAGCCATAAGTTGAGGACTACCTGTAGTTAACAGAGGGTTGCCTGCAATTGCAGGTAGTCCTCAACTTACAACCATAGTAGTAACTGTGAGAGGGACCTCGGAGTCCTAGTGGACAATCACTTAGATATGAGCCAGCAGTGTGCTGCAGCTGCCAAAAAGGCCAACACAGTGCTGGGCTGCATTAACAGAGGGATAGAATCAAGATCATGTGAAGTGTTAATACCACTTTACAATGCCTTGGTAAGGCCACACTTGGAATACTGCATCCAGTTTTGGTCACCACGATGTAAAAAAGATGTTGAAACTCTAGAAAGAGTACAGAGAAGAGCAACAAAGATGATTGGGGGAATGGAGGCTAAAACATATAAGGAACGGTTGCTGGAATTGGGTATGTCTAGTTTAATGAAGAGAAGGACGAGGGGGGACATGATAGCAGCGTTCCAATATCTCAGGGGCTGCCACAAAGAAGAGGGAGTCAAGCTATTCTCCAAAGCACCTGAAGGCAGGACAAGAAGCAACGGATGGAAACTAATCAAGGAGAGAAGCAACCTAGAACTAAGGAGAAACTTTTTGACAGTTAGAACAATTAACCAGTGGAACAAACTGCCTCCAGAAGCAGTGAATGCTCCAACACTGGAAGTTTTTAAGAAGAGACTGGACAGCCATTTGTCCGAAATGGTATAGGGTTTCCTGCCTGAGCAGGGTGTTGGACTAGATGACCTCCAAGGTCCCTTCCAACTTTATTGTTATTATTATTGTTGTTGTTGTTGTTCCTTCAAAGTTACAATGGCACTGAAAAAAGTAACTTATGATCATTTTTTTACGCTTACGATCATGGCAACATCCCTGTGGTCACGTGATCAAAATTCAGACACTTTGCAACTGGCATGCATTGATGAAGATTGCAATGCCCCAGGGTCATTTTTGGGTGACCTTCGGACGAGCAAAGTCGATGGGAAGCCAGATTCATTTAGGAACCATGTTACTAACATGTTGACAACTGCAGTGATTCACTTGATAACTGTGTCAAGAAAAGGTCGTAAAACGGGGCAAAATTCACTTAACAACTTTCTTGCTTAGCCATGGAAATTCTGGGATCAATTGTGGTCGTAACTCAAGGACCGCCTGTATCTACAGGGACAGAGGCTGTTCCAGTGATAGGCAATTTATTCTTCTTATTTACTCTGTCCTGGAGGACTAGCTATAAAGGTTGAATGTCTGCGGAGATTCTCAATCGTCCAGATCATGGTTGTTCCAAAGGTGCTTTTCAAAAGGCAACTGGACTTTCTTGGGTTTTTTTCCTTGAAAGTCCAGCCGCCTTCTGAAAAGCACCTTTGGAACTATAAAGGCTGAACTTTAAAAACTCTTATGGGAGTAATAATAAGAAGTTGGTTAAGAGCTTTCCAGATGCAGCAGCATTGATTGGGACGAGTTGTTGTCTGAAGATGTGATAAAATGCCTAACTGACTTTCGAAATACCAAAGGAGACAATTAAGGGGGGAAACGGGGAAATTAAGACAATAGATTTTGAAGTCCAGGGTAGGGAGGAGGTAGGAGAAAGAGACTGAGAGTAATTCCACTTTAACTTTACTACATATAAGTTGAGCTAGAGAATTGCTCTGGCAGGTTTTCGAGATTCTGTTATCTTTCCAGAAACCCAAATGGTTCTTGTTTGCTGCGCTTGCCAGCCTTGCAGAACTTAACAGAATGTAAAAAGAATCTGTTTTGAAAGGTGGCAGAATGCGGGTGCTAGGAAGCCAAAACTATTGTTCAATGGCTCACTGATTACATCTTAATAGGCCGCCTAGGGACTTAATTATTTCTTTTCAGTCCGGCCAGAAATCTTTCTTTTTATATATATATATAAATATTTTATTAGATTTTATATGAGTAAGGAAAGAATAGGGTAAGTATGGGTATAGGGAAGGGTAGGAGTAAGGAATTGAGGATAGGGTAAGGGAAGGTACAATAATGGGGTAACCCCCAACAATAATCTCATGCTTTAACAAGCAGACTACCATCCGGATATGCATATTGAGTAAACATAGCTTATATAATACTAATCAATTATAGTAAATAGAGTTGGCTATAAACGTATAATTAGAAATTAACAAGTAAATACAATTCCTCTAAGTAGATAACCTTAATTAATAAGATATCAGCTGATTCTAACTGTCGCTACTAATATTTAAAATCACTAATAATAACGCTATTATTAACATAAAAAATAAAGTTTGGTGAAAAACCTAAAACCATATATTCCATTTAATTTCAAGCTCTTTTCTCATTCTATCGTATTTCTAACCATTGATAAATTTTTCCCCAAGTTTTAAAATAAATTGAATCTTCTTTCTCTTTCATCTCCAAGGTTAATCTATCCACAGAAATCTTTCTTGATGCATACAGACTAGTTCAGTGGTTCTCAACCTGTGGGTCGGGACCCCATTTGGGGTCGATCGACCATTTCACAGGGGTCGCCAAGCAAGGCTGTCCGCCATTTTTTTTGTCCGCCATTTTTTTCCCCTTTTCCGGCGGGTGCCTTACCTCCCTTGGGCTGGGCCAGCTGGTGGTCGGCCTGCTCCGTCTCTGCCACTTGCCAGCTATGCCTCGGCCGGCGCAGGGGGCGGAACCACGCATGCGCGGCACTCCTGGGCAGGGAAAGTCCTTGACTTACGACCGGTTGGGTAGTCCTCGACTTACAACCGGTTTAGTCCTCGACTTATGACCGGTTTAGTCCTCGACTTACGACTGGTTGGGGTTGCGGCATTAAAAAGGTTGAGAACCACTGGACTAGTTGGAAGAGTCTACCATGGAGGGGAAGATGAGAAGGTTGCCAATTATGACTTACGACCAGCGTTTTTTTTGTTAAAAAAAAAGAAGTGCCGGAACTCACACACGTCATACAACCTGCCTTGCCTACCCTACAAGGTTCCATCCAAAAAAGGTGCCGGAACTCCGTTCTGGGCGTTCTATGACAAAAAAAAAAGCCCTGCTTACGACCATAATGGAAGCTGCCTATTACTGTTGCAAATCATGCCGGTCAATATGAGTCACCCACGTGATCAACCTGATTTTATGATCTGTTTTGCAGCACTTGTTAAGTGAATGCTATAGGCAGTAAGCAAACTATGGGCCAGTTTTGTCAAAAACCAGATCTAAAATGCCGGTTTTCACCAAAATGCGATCATGTGATTATGAGATGGTATAAACGGCCATTGCCAGGAACCTGAAATTCAGTCATGTGACTGCGGGGG